AATAATGATAATAATAATAATAATAATAATAATAATAATTCAGATAACTTATAAAAACTAATTATTTATAGTAAAACTATAACTGAAATGAATTTTTTTGTTCCCTAAGAAACACGAATAAATTTAATATTATTTGTAATAATAATCTACTGACCGCCCTTCCGACCAATTTATTGTACTGAGGTTATCAAAACTACTTGTTAAATAGTTCACTGTTACAGAAGGAGGTCATCATTAGTGTATCGTAAATGTTGTTCAGATAACAGTTTTTTTTTTTTCGTTCAATTATTTAATAAATCATCAAAGTTTTTGATTTTTACAATAATTGCTTTTTGATCAAATTTTTGACAGAACCCCCTCAACAACAGTCAACATCATGGCTAATTTCTAAAACACTTAATCAAAAAGGAAAAAAAAAGATTAATGGGAGAACAATTTTTATGATAAGTGGCAGCTATAAAACCAAAAAAAAAAAAGAGCTATTTTTGCATATGTTAAAATGCAAAAATAGTTCATCATTTTTTTTTTCACCTTTTATTAATCCATCGTTGAATTGGAATGAAACACTTTAGGTTTTCTCTAAAAGTTAATAAGGTTGACTAATTTCCAAAAGTTGAACAGAACATTAGACTATGTAAGAATCTTTATTACAACATACTGTTTTATCACCTTGTAAATCTCAGACTCTCTGTTGTTCATCTGCTTGCACCTAGTTTTTTCCTCCTTTTTTTTTTCATATTTAATTTTAATTCATGCAAAACGATATCAATAAATAACTAAGAACAAAGTATTTGTAACTCAAAAATAATGTTTAGCAAAAAGAAGGCTTATTTTTGTTGCCAATTAACAAACACTTAAAGGTTCTCATATGTAAAAAATTAAAACAAAAATTTTATTTGCAAAATGTTTTAGTCTTATCAAATGATCTATAAAGCCTAAAAAGTATAAAAATATACAATAAATATAAGAAAAAATAATAAGCAAAAAAAAAATTAAGCGTTATAATGTTTAGTATCTTTACTATTTAAAATAACAATAAGATAATTTAAATTCTATTATCTTCATACTCGGTAAGAACAACGAAGCCCACTCACTATCTAAGCGGTTCTCTACTGTTGAATATAGGGATGTAGGAAAATTATTGCTCATAGTTGATGGAAAAGGAAAACCGTTACATAAACTGCACCATATTAAGGAAAAAAACTTGATCTTTTTTACTTTCTCAAAAGCACACTATCTTTGCTTTCACCAGACATCACTCCTCATCAAAACGGTTACCGACGGATAGTTGCTGTTGTTCACCAATGACACCAAACTTTTCAACTTTTGTCAAAAATGGTGATAAATTTGTTTTTTTTTTCTACGTTTCTTTTCCATTTGCCGTACATATAACAGGTAGCGGCAAGAAAGAAAAGCCATTAAGATGGGGTTGGAGGTGAGAAGAGAGGAAAAAGGTGACGATGAATAAGTTAACAAAAAAAAAAAAAAAGAGGAAAATTGGGATTTTCAAAACAACCAAAATGGTGATTAGTATTGTAGGCAACAAGGATAAAGTGTTGTCTTCTGCTCTTTTCCCTATTCACCCCCCTCCACCCTTCCCTCAGAAAAAAAAAAAACAGAAAAAAAACGACAGCAATTATTTTTAGAATATTTAACACAAAAATTCTTGTTTTATACAATTAAACTTTACCAGTTTTTTTCTGTTTTTTTTCTTCTTGTCCCACATTAATCATTGATCAAACAGATGGTTTTAGGCCAAAAAAAAAAACAGATTTAATTGACGTATAAAATAAAACACACACAAACACAAACACACAGATGCGAAAAGTAGTGAACATTAGAAAACAATAAAGAATTTCAAATAAATGTGCAATTTCATTGATTTGCTTTTTCTTTTTCTCCTTAATTTTTTTTTCTTTAAGAACACAATCAATAATAAATTTTTTTTTTTTAATTTTGTCATATAGTTGTGATAAATCATAAAAATTTAACATTTAAGAGG